CAAGCTTCTGTATACAGGCTATCTCAGCCACCAAGAGTGTAGTTTACAAGCTGCTCAGCATAACGCTCTGATGTAGTTCACACGCAGCTTCTGTATACATGTACATGTAGCTGTGTTGATGCACGTGGTGTCAAGATTTTTTTCGCCATGGCCTTTTCAAGTCGTTCTGCGAGTTCTTCCTACTCGGCATCCTGTGGAGCTGATGGATCTCTTTCCCGCTCTCTCAGCGATCCTCTGTCACCTGGACAGCGCTCGGCTAGTTCTGTCACATCTGGAAGTCCTGTCAGTGCTCGCTACGCCCTGTGACAAATTATTCTGCTGAATCCCCGCAGCAGAATTCTGCCACCTCGGCGTCTTCGTCTTCCCCTGCGACGTCTCAGCGAAGGACATTTGATCTCGCGATGGACCTGACCCTTCTCAGGCAGCTTCGTTCTCACGACCAACCGTTTCGACGAGGGTCTCCAGCCATGGAGATCGTTGCCCGTGAGCTGGAAAACTTGAGCCCAACTCAGTTCGGTGGTGTGCCTACACGTGAGCCATGGGCCGGAGTACACATTTGATTCAAAAAAATTGTTCACCACGCGCGCAAACAGCGGAAAAAGTACTCGAAAGGGTCAACATGGTCACACTACGTTTTTCGTTGAGCACAACAGATTTTCTTTACGAATTTTCGTCACTTCCAGATGGCTCAGATTCCGAAAGATCTTTACGAATTTTCGTTATGCACAACCTCTCTATTTACTCTTGGCAATATGAAGCAAAACTTGCTTTTTGAGCACTGGTACGATAAAGAAATCAGCTTGCGCTGTACAATACAACATTGCCTGTATCTATTAGCATGGTTGAAAGCAGGGTGAAATATTTTACCTTACCTGAAGTCTTTCGGGCGTCTGCCATTCCACTGGTCACTGCCATGTCGGTAAGAGAATATCCAATACGTCCAAACAGCTTCCTCCAATCGATTGTTGACACTAGTAAATGTAGCAGCAGAGCAGAGAGCTGAACTGAAAGCCTTTCACGATAGTTCTGATTTAGAAACGTACAAACGTGCCTAAGAATGAAGACCGCTGGCTTCTATTAACGAAAACAACCACTACCCAAGTTCTGAACGAGCTAATCTCATACGTAACCCATGACTTTGATAGAGTAATGCCGAAGAAATGAACTCGAATCATTCGCACAGCCGAGTTTTGTCCTTCAAATTTCAGCGCTGAAAATGATCGCAAGGCACAAGACTTTAGGAATTCACACCTCGACGTTACTGAATGCAATGTCCATGCTCATATACTGTAGACCTGGGATGAAGGGAGGGAAGGGGGTGAGAACCGTGAAGACATCAGATAAACCCGGAGCTAAGTTTGTACAGAAATGCTGCATCTCATAGTACACTGAAGACGAAAGTGCTGTGGTGTGAACAGTGCCTCACTCACCTAGGCTGATGAGCCAGAAATCATCTGCTACAACAAGGCCCTGTGATACCTACATTCCTACCTGTCAGCGAAGCAGCAGAGCAGGCTATCTCAGCCACCAAGAGTGTAGTTTACAAGCTGCTCAGCATAACGCTCTGATGTAGTTCACACGCAGGTGTTGTAACACTTTCAAAAATGAAAACTCTGAAAATCTGATGCAGTGATGGGATCTGCTACAGCATACCGGCACTGTGGCAGAGCTTGTAGACGAGCTGCTAGAGCGAAACCCCCAGATAAGAACATGAATCTTTAGCGCGATCAGATTTCAATGAACGGCATTCAACTGTAGGAAGTGTGAAATACATATTGGCCAGAATTTACAAATTAGTTGCTTGTTGGAACTGCGAGTTTCACTCTAAAAGTATCGTCACTCAACGACCCTAGATGTGAACATTTCCACCGCACGTCAGACGCCGGTTAGTTTGACATGGGCCAGAAATCGTAACTTCAGTTACCAGTTCAGTTGAAGTGTCTGAAGGAAGGGTTTGGATAACTGCAATGAGTTCCCATGATTGAACTAAACAGGTAATTGGAGAGAAGTTTGAACTATACCCTGCAGATGATACACAAAACTAGGCAGTTCGTGGAATGCTGGAATGCTAGTGTGGTGTCCTGCAGCTGACGACATCCTCTGCCGATACGTAGTCAAGCAATATCCGCCAAAGTTACGGTTATGATGGCATACCATGCATGAAAATGTGGATGAATATGGATGCAGCAAAAGGTAAATTTGTCTCGTAAATTTTACCTGCCCAGATGGTCATGTTTTTCTGCACAATGCTACAAGTAGTAGACCTTCTTCATAACTTCAGCACGATGGTCAAGTACTCTTTTAGAAACTAGATTGATTTACAAAATTATTTTTGTATTGAATATGGCATTTATTTTGTATGTACAGGTAGGAAAGAATATTTAAAACATCATGTTTGATAGGCAGATGGCGCAGTTATACGTATGTGCAATTCATGACCAGTTCTTGTTAGTGAAATAGTGTAGTATCCCTGCCCGACCAATACGGAAGTAGTACGGAACTAATACGGAGCTTTGCCTGATGTATATTTAGTGTATCTCCGTATGTAAGCGTACGGCGTCTGCTGCATTAAAGCGGCTGCGCATTTCTGTTTTGAAGATTAGATTAGATAGCAACAAAAGCTAACTCGAAGAATAAGAAATCAGCATCTAGGTGAGCACCGGAGAGAAAGTTATTTATTTGCCGCTTCTTCTTTCACTAATAATTATATCTCAGGTGTGTACCTGAAAGAAGTAGAATAAAACTAATTCTTGTTGATTTCACCACGCCTACCCCTCGGTTACCCGTTACAATAGCCACTATGTCCAATTCCATCTTGGTACAACGCGCCAGCACACTAGCTTTAATACTTGCTGTTATCAAGCAACAGCCAGGACATTGTAGCCAATTACATGCTAGTATGAAGCAGCATATAGATGCAATGCATGCTGGCATCAAACCGCTAGCCCGGATATTGAATGTACAGTCGTCGCGAAAAAAACTATTGAAAAATACAACCAATGCCAAAACCATGGATATAGTGGTGCGCGTTCACTGTGGTGCTTCACGGTGGTGCTTCACGGTGGTGGGCGTTCACGGTGTTCCTTCACAGTGTTGCTTCACAGTAGCATAGTAGCATGGTAGTATGGTAGCATGGTAGCATGGTAGTATGGTAGCATGGTAGTATGGTAGCATGGTAGTATGGTAGCATGGTAGCATGGTAGCATGGTAGTATGGTAGCATGGTAGCATGGTAGTATGCATGTACTTACTATAGACATAGTCAGTATTAGTCTAACCCGCTCTGCACTGAGCGTATACAGGGCATAGTGTTTGCATCTGTAGTGCACTAGTGGCTAGTAGTGGTAGTTCATGTGGCCCATGTACTCTTCAGCTAGCATAGCATTGGCCAGATTTTTGGGCGACGACTGTAGCTGAAAAACTCCCTGGTATCAAGCAGCTAGCCGGAGCGCTGCATAGTGCTAATACTTGCTGGCGCCAGCAGACAATAAGACAACACTGTCGAAGTGTTTGATGGTTTCAGGATAGCAACAGATTGCTCAAAACTAGCTCAAATTGAGAACGATTTACCTGTGCAGTGGGATTTTAGCAGCGACAGTTATAGCCATCCATCTTGGCAACAGCAATACTCTTTCCACTTATATGAGCGCAGCACAAATCGTTGATGTGCGAGTATATGTGTGCACAAATCATTTTGGTATCACATTGTAGAGGTGTATACAGTAAGATCGGGCGCCGAAGAACACCTCGCCGAAGAACACCCAGGCTGAAAACCGGCAAAATTTAAGAACAGTCCAGGCTAGAATTATCAGATTTAAGAACACTAGATCTACATTGTACGTAGATCTACATTGTACATGTATGGGAGGTGAGTACATGTCATGTACACGTGTAAACAGTAACTGCTACATGTACAGTCATTCCCATTTACGACACCCACTAGTTTAAAAGTACTACATTGCACTACATGTACATGTCATGACGTCACTCGACTCGCCGCGCGCGTGTGAATAAGAACGGTCTGGCTAGAATCAAAAAGTTAAGAACTTTCCTAGGCTGCGCTCGAGCCCCTGCGTTCTTCGGCGCCCGATCTAACTGTATTCGATTACATCATCAGTTGAGACGCCTCGGTGAAGGCGCGGTCTGGCGACACAGCGCTGGACCTGCACTAGCGACACAAGCTGCATACTTAGCGTCCTTTGGAAAATCTGCGCACTCATGCGTGTACTTGTGCCCAATGACATCATTCGCATAACTTCTATATGCACTTTACCTGCTAGGTGCATGGTTTTCAAAATGAGGGAGTTCTGGAAGTTTGAAAAAAGTGCTCGATGCACCTGGGTGCAGAGCGGAATAAATGAAAACGACGATGCAGAATAGCACATTCCCATCACATACAGCAACGCAATTTCAATTTCCCTTCTTTTTGCATAGTTGTCAAACATCGAAAGTCATGACAACAGGCAGTCCATAACACCAAGAGTGAGCAACTACCCGCGCTACTTCCATCGTGTGCCCGTTTACCACATAAAACCGGGCTATATATACCCCCCCCCCACACACACACTCATACTCCTGCCCATAACAAACAAGCTATGTTGGACATAGCAACACAACACACACACACACACACACACACACACACACACACCTGTTACAGTGGTAGAGAGGTACTCATAACTCGTACCTAAGTGTCCTTTCACATCTTGACATTTTAGTATTGGCTCCGTTTCCAAGTTAAATTGGTTGTTTCGGAATGCAAGTTCATGCGCTGCACTTTCAGCCATGACATGTCGCCGTACACATGCGTCAATTTACTCGCAGCCAAGGCCTGGTGATAGCCAAGCAAGTCTACTTCACACTCAGTGTAAAGATAGACGGAAAACTCAGCTGGACAGCCAGAAAGGTAGCGGAACTGAGACGCAGACAAGTGAAATGCGCTGATTTCCTGGTCAGACTTTGAACGGCGTTTTCTGCACTTCACATTCAGTTGCACTTGACTGGTTTTTTCGTGGCACCGCTCATATAATAATTATATAATACATGTTCTTCAGTAAGGTTTGGTAATTGCATGGAAAAGATACACACCAACAAAATGGTGAAAAGAAGAACACTAAAGTATGCTGATTGGTTTGCAGGACTGAAAACAAAATACTTTGAGGTATGCACTAGGGAATAACATACCATCATCCTGAAGGTTGAGACTGTAAGGAGTAAGAATTGGCCCAAGATATTGGTACAGACACGGATCAAGATTAGAACAGTGTGAACACGTTTAGATCAGGTTTCTGTAAGAAATGCCTTTACAATAATTATAGGAAAGTAAAAAAACACCGAAACTCAAGAGCATGTGTCCCTCATCCATCGCATGTCAGTTCGGAAACTCGACGGCATCAGCCAACTCTGTTATTATAAGATAAGGCAACATTTCTACTTGTAGATCAAGCAAGAATGGAGCACAGCTGAAATTGGTCGAGACGTTGACATGTCAAAATCGACATGGAGACGTCAAGATGTAGCAGCAAGGATTGAGCGCAATTCATGCACACTTGGCTTGCTCTCGGAAGAAATAGTTGATTCTTGATCCCAGATCTCATATCTGTTCTTCACCAACTCTACAAGAAATGTATCCGTAACATTCTCAAGGACATTCTTCATGTGGTCTGTAATTTGTATAATAGCAAAACACAACACAACCCAACTCAAAAAATACTTAGTCATGTAGAAAATTATTCCTCCAAATAGTAAGACACATGTACACACACACACACACACACACACACACACACACACACACACACACACACACACACAGGTGCACAAACCCATACACTTTGCATACACACACACACTCTGCTCGGGCAATATACACTTGCACACCACTTGCGGAGGACTCATGATTAACAAAAAAAACCAGCCATGCACGGGTGAGCAGCAACACAAGTATTGTTATAGAATACAGAATGTATCATTATAGTATACAGATGTAGTGTTACAGAATGTATCATTATAGTATACAGATGTAGTGTTACAGAATGAAGATAAAGGAAATAGCTGGAATGAGTTCAATGCAGCAAACATCATGAAAGATGCTGTCTATTCATAAGTTCAGGGCTGGTATTTGGGATCACAAAACGAAAACACGTCAGAGGCCATCTTGAGTCACGCTACGTCATCAGATACCCGCACGTGATGCGGGGTCGCGAGATCGCGACTGCGCAAAAGTGTACTTGCCAGTGCAGTCTTTGACCTAGCTGCAACTGTGCAAGAGCAAGTGCTAGTTTTTATCATAGTTTTATTTTTTGGTGGTGCTTGAACTAGTTCGAACTGCTTCCCTTCGACTTTCTCTGACAGAGCGGGTGCTGTTAGGGTTTCCTGTTGTCAGTTTGTATCCACCACCGGTCTTGTATGTCAGTGCTTGTACAAGGAGGTGTTCAGTAGTTATTTTCAGTCCGCACCATGGATCGCATCCAGGGTAGGAAATCGCACTCTGACCGGCTTGATTATCCCGAGTCGAGAAAGAAGCGAACTAGTGGCCAGTTCGGCTCAGTATCATGGCCAGCTGGACGTAGATCAGATCGCCCCGAGGTTGAACAAACCGACAGTAGTCCTGAAATCCTTACCTCGCAGAACATTGACGATGTGGAGCGCGGTGTTCAAGAACAAAGAACCATGGTAATAATTGGATTCGCTCCAGAAAAAATTATTCTCCTGGTTCCCGGTTCCTTTCCCAATATTTCCTATGGTCTGGATACGTGCATCACGCTGAAGCCTAGATGAATCAGATTGTAAGTCAGTCTTCTCTCTAGCTCAAGATTTTGCGAACATGTTATCAGTGAACAATAAAAGCAAAGGACACAGGACAACAAATGGAAAATGCACGTCTCCTTCTTTTCCTTGCCGTGCGCACTGCACTGTCACAGTCTGCAGTTCTGACTGGAAGGTGTCTCCCGTTTGTGAAAGAACCAGCGCAAGTCGCGCGTGGCGCGGCGTCCTTCAAAACGACACAAGTGAGCTCCACATGAGCCGATTTTGACAATCGATGGCTCAAAATTTTCAGTAGGAGATGCTCTGTACTTTCACCAAAGCGAATTTCGCCAAAACGATTCTAGAGGTGGGACACGTTAACCAATTTTGAGGGTGTTATTTGAGGTCTAAATTGCGAAAATCAAAAAATCCTTCGGTGAATCCCTTTGCCCACATCTGAACTCAGTGCCTGCTAAATCTCAGCCTGCTAGAGAGAACTGTGGCTCACTTGCGTGGATTTGAACAGGCCAGAGTCGACGCGAAGTATAACAAGATTCCCTGTACACAGCATGGTGTGACACATGTCACGTGAACCAAGATGGCGCCCACGTGTTTCTGTGCAAGTACTAGCCCTGAAGTTGGGAGGAGTTGAAAACGAGAAAAAAAACTGAAGAAAAATTGATGGCCACGACCCGAAGTCGAGCCAGTGCTGTCACTTATAGTTATGTCCGGTGATGCTCTACCATTAAGCTATGGTACAGTCATCACCCCACCAGCGACCGCGCAACATTTTCTTCAAAGATGTTGAGAATAAACCATATAATGTGTGTGATGGCTATGAGAGAATCTGGATCTGGTCAAGAAGAAGCAGGAATTCACCACCAGGAACATTGCATTTCCAGCAAGGCTACACCAACTCCTTAGCCATAATACAATAGACTTTCAAGTGCGAATACCTATTGAGGTAGCTCAAACCCCTTTGGAGATGAAAAAACCTCTACAGAAGAAGTGCTGTTTTCACCGTGTTTTCTATGTTGTTCACTAGCATGCATAGCCTCTAGAAATTATTAGTGTGGGCAATACATGGGCATTTTGCTGGACTTATGGGGCCTCAAAGCTCCGAAAATTAGGTTTTTATTGCTTTCAAGAGGCCATAACTACAGCTCAAATGCATATCCATAGGCACCCCCCCCCCCCCCCCCACACACACACACACACACTCACCCCCATATGAGTATGATTTATGAGGTCTAAGCATGCTAGAGGCCAACTTAGAAAAATTAGGTGATTTTTTCACGGCCAAAGTGGCTCGAGCTGCCAGCATTCAGTTGGCTTACAGCATTATTCGCTGCCCTAGCGCAAACTGCGGTTTCCTCGGAAGTTGTCAGAGTTATTAGCTTAGCAGTTACTGTACACTACTGCTGCAGCGTGTTTGGTTTCTGTTGTATCCAGGTTGAGCAGTGCTCCAGCCTAGTGTATCAATGTAAATAGTCACCTTGCTCGCCTGATGTGTGTGTGACAATTGCCCACAATTTGGAATTGGGAATGTAAATAGTTACGTACTTCCTCCGCGTTATTAAAATTGTCGCTTCCCAGAGCGATTTTTCGAATATATTTTGTCCACTCGAAGGGCAAAGAAATCGGCTAGAAATTGAGGCAGAGCATTGTCGACGACCAAGCTTTAGTTTGTGGTCCCCCGCTTCGCTGCACTTGCAGCTAAAGTCGACATCTTCATCAGAGTTTGAGGCAGACCCTTCAGCACTCAACAATACGCTGAACAAGACGCGCGGTCAAATTCAGGTCAAGAAACTTCGTTTTCAAGCGATCCATGCCTCCATGTGGCAGGCGATGAAGGCAAGCTAGCATTAATTTTTTCAAGTACACTGTAACGACCTTCCAGCGGGATAGGGTAAGCAGTTTCGCACCTTCTTTCCTTGGCAAGCGCTTCGCTGATTTTGTTGGTGTTTTCAGACCTACTACCTTCGCAGCAACATGCGCCACAAGTAGCGTATTTTAGGAATATGAGACCGCTTTGTTCTTACCATCGTCAACTTCAGAATTTCGTATTCAAGTCGCAAACAGTTCCCAAGTATGGGCAGTTGTCACAAACATCAGCCGAACAAGTTGAGTTACTGTGCAGTCTACAGAAAGTCTACTTCGAGTACATGTCATGCAAAGTACACAGATACTCATGTAACAAGAACCCAAGACCCCAAGAGCCCCTGTGTGTAATGCAAAGTACATGCTTTTACCTTGCCAGGCAAAGCTGTCACTTCCCGTTGTAGATTTCTCCAAGTCGGCTATGACAGCCAAAGGATTGAAACATGACTCCTCAGCACAAGGCTCAGTTGGGTGACTTTGACTGGCAAGCATTCTCTCGAAATGGACATGGTCATCTTCAGTCAGTGATGAACAGCATCCCATGGTAATGCTCCTTGGAAGACTATCCTGATTAGTATACACAACACACATGACAGTCAAGGCATTCAGGTTTATAGATATACAACTGCATTCCAAGACCCCGTAAAAGCAAATACAGAGGAGTGGGAGTGTATGCTGTTTTTCATGACCTTAGAGACGGCTCCAATCATTCCTCACCATAAACCATGAAATTGACACACATATGCACAAGCATACACACACAGGCACACACACAGACACACACAAATACTTGTAGGTATAATTGCTCACTGGTAAACTGGTCATGTGGGTCTCCCTTTGTGAGAGGGGAGAGGGGCTCAAAGAGAATTTTGGAAAGATGACTCAATTGGCTAAGAGACTGTTCAACGGCTGATACCCCGGAAATTCTCAAACTCTGGCCGGACTTGGAAATAATCTCACTTATGGGCTCACAACGCCTCGGCAAGTGGACACACACAAGCACACACACACACACACACACACACACACACACACACACACACATACACAAACACACACAGCATACATACACACGTACAAGGGGGAAGGCGCATACGAGTGCACATGCATGTGTGCCCTAAGTTATATACGATGGAAATGCCATTCTTAATCTTACTTTGATAGTAAGCAAACTTGTCTGTAGTTTCTTCATTGCATCTAAGACGGGAGAAACAAATATAGCAAGATATAGAAACCCACTTCTAGTTCAGAAACATGCCAAGCTGAGATCAAGACAAGTTACCACTACAATGGATGGTGTTGTTAGATTTCCTAGATATAGTAGTACCTCAGGCAAAGCCAGAAGCCACAGACCTATTGCTTATGTGCGCGTAGGCTATGTTTGCATTAGTGTTGAAACGATCTCACCAGGTACTCGTTAGCTCGATCGCCAGAAACTCGGCTCATTTGTTCGGCCAGCTTGTTTGTACTAACGAACAGCGAAACACTGTACTCCGTACACTTTGGCAGAACATGTCAACCGAAGAGTCGTCAAATATTTTACGAGTCCCTGGTTGATCGAGAGTCCCAGTCCCGCACAAAGTGAAAATCAGTGACTGTATGCCTCCACGACACTGAGTTGTTTCAGTTATCGTTACAGTTTTGGTGGACTCCACTGATGTCTTGTTCCGCATCTGCTGACCTGTCAACTCTCAATTTGAGTAAAGTTTGCGCGCAGTCGTTTGGAAGTTTTCTCCCGCAATGCAGGGAAAAACAGGGCTACTTTCAATCTTTGCGAAACGGTCTATTCTTACAAAGGCTGCTGAACAACGCCGCTGAAAAGACATCTTGACACTAAAGACCAAACAGCAGTCCGAAGTGAAGCAGCAGCGGCCCCAAATGCCAGCGGTGATAATTTGAACCAGTTGAATTAAAAAAAATGAATTTTAGAAAAAATATTTGAAAGGGTCATATTTGCCACATCAATGAAACTCGTTAGCTCGCTCGATAGCTTGCTCGTTAGTGGAACTGTTCGCTCGTTTGTAATAGATACGCTCGTATCAACACTATAAATTTGTGTACACCATGTGGCCAATTCATCACGGGAGAGCGGCTGGCGTGTACATCTATCCTGCGAGTGAATGAAGTGTATTTTAAGGCTATTTAGCAATGACTGTTCTTCTTTTTCCATCGGTGCCTCCCAATTTTTTTAAATTATTATCTTTAACTGAAGATCTCCTCAGTTACCTTGTTGTCTGTTTGACCCTCTTGAAGTTGTACATTCTACTGTTGGGGCAACGAACTGAAATGAATTAAAAATAAAACAAAACAAATCTGAAGCATTGTAAGACTGGCAACTACCATCAGAAGTCGGGCAGTACGCAACCATAGCAAACTTAAAACTAATGAGAGAAAGAGAACACTGAAGTGGTAAAGCAATAATATGTGGTCAAACGGGTAGGCCGGATACCCAACACCCGTTCCCTAGATGACTGAGCCGATAGGGATTGGATGCTGGGTACAACCTGGAAGTGAAATAGTGTGAGTATTTCAACATTTCACAGGAAAGTGCTAACCATTCTGACAAGAAATGCAATCGGGCAGCATAAGTAGGGTATACGTATGGTATACGTAGGGTATACGTATGGTATACGTAGGATATATGTAGGGTATACGTATGGTATACGTAGGGTATATGGTATACGTAGGGTATATGGTATACGTAGGGTATACGTAGGGTACACGTAGGGTATACGTAGGGTACACGTAGGGTATACGTAGGGTATACGTAGGGTACACGTAGGGTATACGTAGGGTATACGTAGGGTATACGTAGGGTATACGTAGGGTGTACGTATGGTATACGTATGGTATACGTATGGTATACGTAGGGTACACGTAGGGTATACGTAGGGTACACGTAGGGTATACGTAGGGTGTACGTAGGGTATACGTAGGGTATACGTAGGGTACACGTAGGGTATACGTAGGGTATATGTAGGGTACACGTAGGGTATACGTAGGGTATACGTAGGGTGTACGTAGGGTGTACGTAGGGTATACGTAGGGTATACGTAGGGTGTACGTATGGTATACGTATGGTATACGTAGGGTTTCCTGAACCAAGTGAACGTGGCTACTATACCATTTTCTAGTCTTGTTCTCTTTGTCCTAGTGCATTGTTCAAGTATACTCAGTTAGCTCTCGCTTTTTGCTTGGTATTACATAGTACAAGACTTAGTATACTCAGCTAGCTCTTGTTCTTTGTTTGGTATTACATTCCAAATTCCAGGCAATAACATCCCATGTCGTCGTTTTGCTAGCCGCAACTACATGACAACAAACCAGGCCATCAGGCCATTAAACACTATAGATAAACCTGGGCTTGATCGTGACTGTTCGGGGGGGGGGGGGGGGGGAGGTGGAGGGGGTGGAGGGGGAGGGGTGGAGGGGTGGAGGGGGATGATGATATTCTGCGGTAATTTCCCGGAGAAATTCTAAATTATGGGAAAGGCCTAGACAAACACTGGGATATATTTCACACTCTTTTACGACGGATTGCCAATTGTGCCCAACCCTTTATAGAACAGTTTTCCCTGCTCAAGCAAGTGGCATGGTACTGGTAGCCATTGTACTGGAAGTGTGCAATTTGATTTTTTGGATGTATTTTTAGACAAACCCGGACAGTGGCTGTTCGACCCTCTTTGAAGTTGCACATTGTATTGTTCAGGCAACGAACTAAATCAAAACAAACAAAAAACAAGTGGAGTGAGGGCGGTGGGAATTTAAAAATACAGCAGACATGGTTGCTCTATCCAACCATGATGTTCCTATTCCTAGCACCCCCACTTGTTCTGAAATCGTGTTCAAGACTCCCTGACCATGTGCCCATTGAATAATTACACTGAAACAAATTCACTTCCAAAATCTTACCATCGGGGTGATAACGCAAGTGAAGCTCTGCGATAGTAGCATCAATCGACACTCCGCATACAGACGAACTTGTGCTACACGACAACGAGATCCAAAACAAAACATTGCATCTGTGTACTAGCATCAGGGCAGCACTCAACTACTCTAAATCAACTAATTTCCCACTCGATTTATTGACACAAAGTCTCAGAAATGACATTTTCCTTGGATTTTACCTCACTTAACTCTTTGAGACCCCAACGATCGAATTCGATCGTTTGGTATACGGTGACACTAAAATAATTATATCTCTGGTGTTCCTTCACCGATTTTCATAAACAAAGTATTTACGTTTCGAAAAGACCCTTGCCTATCACGTCGAAGTTATCCGAAGTCTCTAGGAGTTACGATGCCGCCGTGGTGAGACTCGAAGTCGGAGACAAACTGAAAAATGCACTCAGATCGAAAATATTCAAATTTTCACGCTGCACTTGACAGGAGATTTCCCCGGAATAGTACGCCATGCTCAAGCATGCTGCACACCAAAATTTTGCGCTTGAAACGAGCTTTCCGCTGTAGTTTGTTTGAAGTCGATGCGATGAAGGAGAATGGAATGGCGGCTGTTTGAACTTTGCTGTAGCTGTTCGCGCACGGCTGCTGTTTTGGGCGGCATTATAGGCCACGCAGAGCAGAGGCTGTGCAGGTAGCTGGCTTGAGTGTGGTACCAGTCTCTTTGTCTTGGAAATGCCTTTCCAACGGTGGTTAGCTTGTAAAAATCGGTGAATGTTTCATAGAGATACGAGTGAAAGTGCATGATATTTGAAGGTGCGTAAATTGTCGCACTTTCAGTGGGGTCTCAAAAGGTTAAATTCAAACAACGTACTGCTGATGTGGAGACACCGCACACCACTGTACCACAGTTAGGATATTCATGAAGCAATCATGAATTTCTGGCACGCATATGTGAGGTGCAAAGCAAATTTTTTGGATTATGTGGTGAAATGATATCACAGCCTCCTTTATGTGATCACAGGTCCTTGAAAATGGAGGGAACTCTCAATTCATTCGGTGCAGTGGTCATTTCATTTCTTAGACAAACAAATATGCAGGATTGCACTTCCCATTGGGTTTCTTGCAGTGACTTCAGAACCTGTTTTCCTTACCTTGTTTTTGCTAGATGGACGAGATTGTCACAGAGTTGCCGATTTAGCTCTAGTTCTTGTGCCGTCCAGTTCACTACAGACAGAACACAATGTGAAAGCAACCATTCATCACCCCTAGAACACAATGAGAAAGCCGCCATTCATCATCCCTAGCCTGTTTTACTTCATTCACAACGCAATATACAATTAAAAATACGTACAGTACATGTACATACAGTCAGTATGCACCAACATGATGACACAACCATTCTATCAGTCAGTATGCACCAACATGATGACACAACCATTCTTTCAGTCAGTATGCACCAACATGATGACATAACCATTCTATCAGTCTGTATGCACCAGCATGATGACACAACCATTCTATCAGACGGCTGCACATTGAACAACCTAACCAAAAGTCTTTCCCAAGAAATAGTTGTGATCTCAACAGAATAATTTACCACCGCAATCATGGGTTTTTCAACATACAATGCAGCAAAGCACAATGGACAAAATACGGGTTGTACAAATGTACACAATAGACCTTATGCGGTTGTACAGGTCTACAGTCCTATGCTATGTACCTGGCTCAAATTAGTGGCGGTCAACTCATCAGTCTTGCATGCTGTTGAATGGTGTAATCCCAGCACAAGTTGCTATACCTAACATAGCTTGTTAGCTATCATTGCTTCGGTAATGGGCGTACACGTATGAGTATGTATCTGGCATAGCCGCCTTGGATACCTTTCTGCAGCAAACCTATTCCATTGGAATTTGGAATGTATTTGCACACTATGTTGATCAGAGTGTGCAGCTCAAACGGATTCAAGTTTCGGTACGAGATCAATGTCTGTTACCCATACACTTGTCTTGCAAGAGCTTCCAGTACTCGTTGATGCATCTGTGTAGAGACCACCTGCATTCCATGACTAACACACTGCCGGGTCAATGACATCCTAGCGGGCCGTACCAGATAAACATGGGATTGTGTACATCAGTCCAACGAATATAACATCTACATGTAAAGAGATCTAGAAGCCTTACCATGAACCGTGGAGAATCCCAAAACGGACCAGATGGCACTAGTCAGCTGCGTTCGTACTTCTGCAGTAGGTAGACAATGTGGCTTGGAGTTGCTACAGCAGCTGTATGTCTGAGCTATCTTCACTGTGATTACTTGAGCTATCACCTGTATATACCATCCACACACAAATACATACACAACGAGATACATGTCACTTAACTCTGGATCACAGTGCTTACACATTTCTACGAATATGCATCGAACAGGACAACTCTCCCGGTTTTCTTGGGAAAATCCAGGACAATCAGCAATAGTCCCGGAAAAGTCACATTTTGTCTGATCCACGTTGTTCATGAAAACTCCAGGGACTTGCTTCCAGTGTCCCGTTATGTACGGTATGGCCTTGCACTTCGAACTGTGCACTTTCAAGAGCTGAGCAGCCTAGCCTGCATGCACCGATAGGCGCGCTAGGCGCACGTCAACTGATCGAACTGCATTGAAGGGTCGAACTGTGCTGCACGCAGAGTGTGCAGTCGAACATTTTTTGGCGGGAAAAGCTCCTTTTTACTTCTTTTTGTGCCATCCAGGGATTTCGCATGTCTTATCAATGGATTGAGATGTTGGTGGTTGGTCAGTATGATGCATGCAGGTCATAGTGTGACATAGCAATCACATTCATATCAACTGCTGCGAAGGACACAGAATAATGGATTTTCCAATGCAAAAATCCCCATCCGCTTCTCTTTTTACGTTTCCTTTCTTTTCTTTTCTTCTCTCTTCTTTTTTTCCTTTTCTAATCCGCAATCTGTCTGTCCCTTAGTTTGTACTTCCAGGATTACGTAAACAAGAGTGTGCAACTCCGCAGCTAGCTCAGTGGTGCATGGTATGGTCCACGCCGGAATTTCTTCTTGATGTCACCTTTTGCAGAACCTATGACACATGTCGTACAAATCACGCGCAAAGAATGCGCCAGAAGACAATTTTTATCGCAAGTTTGTGTTTTGCAGCTTCCAAAATAAATATTTGAACTCTTTCTCATTATAGTGTAACTTGTAGTTCCTGGGTCCTTTTTAGTGTTGAAACGAGCGTATCTATAACAAACGAGCGATCAGTTCCACTAACGAGCAAGCTATCGAGCGAGCTAAAGATTTTCATTGATGTGGCAAATCATGATTTTTTAAATATTTTTTTCAAGTACGATTTTTTTAAATTTAATTCAGCTGGTCCAAATTATCACCGCCGGCATCTGGGGATGCTGCTGCTTCACTTCGGACTGCTGTTTGGTGTCGAGACGTCTTTTCAACGCCGTCGTTGAGCAGCCGTTGTAAGAATAGACCGTTTTGCAAACACTGTAGCCCTGTTCTTCGCTGCATCGCGGGAGAAAACTTCCAAACGTAACTTTCACTCGAATTGAGAGTTGACAGAAGTTTGCCCTGCAGCAGGTCAGCAGATGCGGAACAAGACATCAGTGGAGTCCACCAAAGCTGCAACGACAACTGAAACAACTATGTTACTTAGTCACTGTCGTGCAGGCGGCATGCAGCCACTGTAACTGCGAGTGCTTTTCACTTTGCGCGGGACTGGACTCTCGATCGACCAGGAATCGTAAAAAAAATTCCGACTCCCCGCTCGACTTGTACTGCCATGTGTACGAATTACGTTGTACGGTGTTCGTTAGTGCAAACAAGCTGGCCGCACAAACGAGCCGAGTTTCTGGCGAGCGAGCTAACGAGTACCCGGTGAGATCGTTTCAACACTAGTCCTTTTTCTTTTCCATAAATTTAGCCTTGGCTCTCCATCCGAGTCATTTCTCCTTCAGTAGCTTTTTACCGTACATTTCAAGATTAGTGAAACGCTGCCGAGTTCACGTGGCCACAGACTTGCAGTGCATATTTCGCATGCTATTACTCATCATCCCCCAAAAAAGGTGACGTCAACCAAAAATTCCACTGTGAGCTAAACCAATTGGAGTTGCATGCTCTTGTGTATGTGTAGCATTGGCACGCTGGTGACTTGTTGTGTGTCTTGTGTATGTGTAGCATTGGCATGCTGGTGACTTGTTGTGTGTCTTGTGTATGTGTAGCATTGGCACGCTGGTGACTTGTTGTGTGTCTTGTGTATGTGTAGCATTGGCACGCTGGTGACTTGTTGTGTGTCTTGTGTATGTGTAGCATTGGCACGCTGGTGACTTGTTGTGTGTCTTGTGTATGTGTAGCATTGGCACGCTGGTGACTTGTTGTGTGTCTTGTGTATGTGTAGCATTGGCACGCTGGTGACTTGTTGTGTGTCTTGTGTATGTGTAGCATTGGCACGCTGGTGACTTGTTGTGTGTCTTGTGTATGTGTAGCATTGGCACGCTGGTGACTTGTTGTGTGTCTTGTGTATGTGTAGCATTGGCACGCTGGTGACTTGTTGTGTGTCTTGTGTATGTGTAGCATTGGCACGCTGGTGACTTGTTGTGTGTCTTGTGTATGTGTAGCATTGGCACGCTGGTGACTTGTTGTGTGTCTTGTGTATGTGTAGCATTGGCACGCTGGTGACTTGTTGTGTGTCTTGTGTATGTGTAGCATTGGCACGCTGGTGACTTGTTGTGTGTCTTGTGTATGTGTAGCATTGGCACGCTGGTGACTTGTTGTGACTTACTGTGACTTACAGTATAGGGTATAGGGTATAGGGTATAGGGTATAGGGTATAGGGTATAGGGTATAGGGTATAGGGTATAGGGTATAGGGTATAGCGTATAGGGTATAGGGTATAGGGTATAGGGTATAGGGTATAGGGTATAGGGTATAGGGTATAGGGTATAGGGTATAGGGTATAGCGTATAGGGTATAGGGTATAGGGTATAGGGTATAGGGTATAGGGTATAGCGTATAGGGTATAGGGTATAGGGTATAGGGTATAGCGTATGGGGTATAGGGTATAGGGTATAGCGTACAGGGTATAGGGTATAGGGTATAGGGTATAGCGTATAGGGTATAGCGTATAGGGTATAGGGTATAGGGTATAGGGTATAGGGTATAGGGTATAGGGTATAGGGTATAGGGTATAGGGTATAGGGTATAGGGTATAGGGTATAGGGTATAGGGTATAGCGTATGGGGTATAGGGTATAGGGTATAGCGTATAGGGTATAGGGTATAGGGTATAGGGTATAGGGTATAGGGTATAGGGTATAGGGTATAGCGTATATGCAGCTTATCCCCGTACGTTAGCATATTCTCGTACGTTAGCGTACGGAGTTTGTGTGTCTATAAAAGCTGCTGCTCACAATTCTTTTTCATGCCAATTAAAGTTCCATTTCAATCAGAGTTAGAGTTGTGTTCATTTCAGTTCAGTTTTTAATATACAACAGTGTGTTCACTGAGACCCTTGTACTTTTGCCTCCGAGAGACTGCGGCCCGCTACATATATGCTCGCGATCCTTGAGGGTGGCGGTGATTCCCGTAAACACTGGTTTACAGGCATCCAGTACACTGATATAAATATTCATACAGTCTGAAAGTGAGATTGCTGTAGTGCAGCCATCGCACCCGACACCCAACTGTAACTACCCCCCCCCCCCCCCCCAATCCAAAAACATATCAATTTACCTTCTAGATTCCACGTCTCACAAGTCCATATTGTTTGGTACTTTCACTAGGCCCTTACACATTATGTTTTGGATTGTTGGCATTTTGGGGTAAAAAAGCATTCTCGGCGGCCGTCGAGCATTTTTTTTCAATTTCGAGGGGCTAATCTCCAGTCTAAACTCAATTTCGTGCAGACGCCACAGCTACTTCTGGTTTCCATGAAGATACCTAAAAAATTCAAAATTTTGAATTTTGTTGGCATGGCAACAGGCACATAATTTTGAATTTTCGGGTAATCTGGCGAGAATTTTTAAATTTTCTGGAATACTTGGTCCGCGTCAGCAATATTGTCGCTTATCTTTCAGCTTTGTTTTCATGTCGCCAAGAGTACATGAAAACCAGAGTGTGCAGCTTGGGGTAGTTGGTGCAACGAGATAGACACCTAAAAACAAACACAAACAGCTTCAAGTTTACACGGCGAGAGAAAGTATACAGGTTATACTTGGTGAGAATGAAATCGATAGAAGTATACTGATCATGGCCAAACACTCGCCTTAGGCACCTATTGCTGGTCGACTCCGGGGCCGTTTCTGCTATGGGTTTCTGTCACGGCGGAATTCCGTGATAACGTCATAATTATTCCCGTAGCTACGCAGAAGACGTTACGTCAGTAACGTCTGGCGCTAGCCAGGGTCCACACAGCTTCAATTTGGTGTTTGTTTGTTTGTTTGTGTGTTTGTGTCACGCCTGGCGCTATTCCGTATCTGTCCCGTACCGTACCATCAAACACAGCTGGCCACATACAGCTGGCCGCAATATTCAAATACTAGTAGGGCTTTCAAACGCAAGGTCATAACGTGAAGCAACTTGGAAGAATGAGTATGAATGCGAAGTGTATGGAGGAATGCATGTAGGGCGATAGTGCGTGTTCGAATCCCAGGTATATCCCGGTAATGCCTGAAAAAAATAGGAGAATTGAAAAATTTATAACATCCCTTTTCTTTTTTTGCCGTCATCAAGGCGGTAGACGGTGTCGTATTACCCTCGACCGCACCTGTCCCGTACCTGTCCCGTACCTGCCCCGTACCTACCCCGTACCGTACCGTACAATCAAAGACGGCTGGTCGCAATGCATATTCAAATAGGGCTTTCAAATACAAGATCATAACGTGAAGCAACTTGGAAGAATTAGTATGTATGCGAAGTGTTTCGGGGGGTGCATGCAGGGCGATAGTGCAGGTTCGAATCCCAGGTTATGTCTAAAAACAAAAAGTAGAAACTTATAAGAATTTATAACATCCCTATGCTTTTTTGTCTAGGTCATCAAGGCAAAAAAGCATAGCGTAGGGCCCTGAGCCTCCAAGCTCTCTCGTTTGGTGCGGATCTGAGGCGGGAAATGGCGTAGTGCGTACAACTGAGCTGCAGTTGTGCAGAAAGAGACCTCCTGGAATCCGGCTTGTACGCACTACATCACTAAAATGATGTAATCACGGAATTCCGCCGTGACAGCAACCCATCCGAGCTGCACACTCTGGTTTTCATGTACTCTTGATGTCGCCAATGCTAACTGTACAAGAGGGCAAACTCAACACCA